AGCTCTTTAGCCTGGGGTGCAAGGTATCGATCAGCGATGGCTTTCTTCTCATCGGCGACATAACCGCTGAGCTCGATGACTTCCATTCTGTCAAGGAGAGGACGGGGAATTGTGTCGGTCATGTTTGCCGTACAGACAAAAAGGACCTTGGACAAGTCGACGGGGATATCCATGTAATGATCCAAAAAGCTCGAATTCTGCTCTGGATCCAGTAGTTCGAGGAGTGCTGAAGACGGGTCTCCCTGGTGACCGCGGCCGATCTTGTCGACCTCGTCAATGAGAATGAGCGGGTTCTCGGTCTGACACTTCTTCAAGGCTTGGATGATTCTTCCAGGCAGAGCGCCGACGTAGGTCCGACGATGGCCCTTGATCTCGGCAACGTCCGTCAAACCCCCGACACTGAAGCGGTAGTACTGTCTGTTCAGTGCGCGAGCGATCGACTTGCCGATCGACGTCTTGCCCACGCCAGGAGGGCCGACAAAACATAGGATCTTGCCTTCGACTGTTCCACGAAGCTTGCCAACCGCGATGAACTCGAGTATCCTATCCTTGACGTCTTTCAGTCCGTAGTGATCCTCGTCCAGCACGGTCATGGCGTTCTTAATGCCAAAGTTCTCGGCGCTTCGCTGGCCCCAAGGGATCTGGGTGATCCAGTCGAGGTAGTTCCGAGTCACATTAAATTCGGAAGCTGCGGGTTCCAGATGTGCCAGCTTGTTGAGCTCCTCGTCAAAGACCTTCTTGACGGCCTCGGGCATGGCTAGTTTCTGCGCCTTCTCGCGGAACTTCTCGACGAGCTTGTCTTTGCCATCGGACTCGATACCCAGTTCGCGGCGGATACCTTTCATTTGTTCCATGAGCCAGTACTCTCGTTGCCGCTTCTGGATCTTGCTTTCAACGTCCTTGGAGATCTTGGACTGAAGCTGGGCATTCATCAGCTCCTTCTTGAGCACGACCAATGCTTTGTGCAGCCTTCGAGCCACATCCATTTCTTGCAAGACATCCTGTAATTCTCCAATCTCGCCAGCCGAGACCGCGGCTGCAAAGTCTGCCAGCTTGGCTGGCTCTTCGAGTACGTTGCCCTGGTATTGCGAGACACTGAAATCCGAAATCTGGTCCCGGAAAAGCTGGTTCAGACTGGCGACCTCCTTGAAAACACTGACAATTTCCGAAGTCAAGGCCTTAATCTCGCCGCTCTTCCTGTCAAAAGGCTGTTCCGCTAGGTTCTCCACGTTCACCAACGAGATAGGGAATTTGCGAAGGAAAGCAGTGGGTTCGTAGACGCCCATTTGGCTGGACTGGTCCTTACTCGGTTCCTCGAAACTTGCCACAACATCCCCTTTGTTGTCTGGCCCTTCGCCCTTCGACTTCTCTTCCTTCACCGGCTGGACTTGCATCATGGACGGCTCTACTTCGCCTGCTTTCGACGGAGGCATCAAGGCGGTCATTTTGATACGGCGATGCGGATACAGTACGGCCGTCAAACTGTGTTCATCTCCGTGAACCGGAAACGCGCTAGTAATCTGGGCGAACACTCCAACATCATGGACGTCATCGACCTTCTCAATGATGTCCTTGTCGGCGTTGTCGTCCTTGAACAGAAACGCCCCGACGTAGGGTTGGCCGCGCTTCATCATCTCGGTGATGGCAGCAACCACATTGGGATCCCGGATCGTGATAGCCTTGTAAAACCCGGGGAATAGAGGACGCTTTGCGATGGGGATCGCCATGACCTGGGGATAGACCTCTGGAACTGTAGGTTTCGTGATCTGCGTGCTCTTCCGCCCACGTTTGCTGCCATCGTTCCCTGACCCTACGCCTTGTGCGCCCGGTTGCGAATCCCCGCTGGACCCCCCTGCAGCCGCGGATTTCGCATTGTCGGCAGATTGAGGTATCGGTTGCGGCTCGGCGGCAGACTTTTTTGTTTCCGCTGCGTCTTCTGTCCGTGGAGCTTCGTCCAACTCCTTTTCTACCTTTTCAGCTTTGGCCTCGGCCTCCTCTTGCTTGGACTGGGGATCGTCTTCGGGTGGCTTGTCTTTCCGCCGCGCGGGATGCGAGGAGAACTGACGTATTTGTAATCCATGTCGAGCGACAATGGGAGAGTAGCTTGAGGTGAGTCGCGGATTCGCGGGGAAACTTGATGCGTGCCTCTGGAGAAGTTGCCGTCTGCAGTCCCTACAGATGTTGAAGGAGCCGTGCCGGAGTGCAGTCCTCCATGGCAGCGTTTGGCCACGAAGCATGCTCTGGGTCGAGGGGAGTGGCTGCGGCGAGCGACAAGGTCAGAAGCTGCGCCGTTGGAGGGAGTGTAGATGAAGGGATCGAGATACACTCTGAGGGGATGCAGAGGCCAACGGAAATACTTGAAAAGAAGACCAACAGTCAGAGGCGATGAAAATGCGAAGGCGACTGCAGGTGTCGCAATTCACCTCGATCTCAACTCGATATCATGTGGATCCACGTCCGCGGCTCGGATAAACTGCCGCCGACAGCAAAAAGCCGATCTGCTGGAACTTTCTCTCAGTGCTGTGTACTGCGGACAGGACCACGCAGGACTTCGATATCTGTGCCTCGCTCATTCGACAACCGCCGTGCAGACATCTCCGTCAACAGTCTACCTTGCACTGGCCCTTGATGAGCGTCATAGCAACCCCAACCGCGCTGGGCGGGACGGCTCCCTTGCGATCACTCTTGAGGACGACGTCGCAGTGTCCCCGACAGCGGAATACTTTTACTCGCAAAGCCCAAACCAGACGATTTTACGACGCTGCTGCCCCGAAGAGACCGGTACCGCAGCGCTCGCCCTCGGCGTCTCCACGATGTCCGTCGCATCACCGACGGCCGTTCTCCGCAACCCCGGCATTCCAAGCCACGAAAGATCCCTATGCGACCCTGGGCGTGGGAAAGAACGCTACGGCTTCTGAGATCAAGAAGGCCTACTACGCCCTAGCGAAGAAGTACCACCCTGATACCAACAAAGACCCGAACGCGAAAGAGAAATTTACCGACGCCCAGTCAGCATACGAACTTTTGAACGACCCCCAGAAGAAAGCCGCGTACGATCAGTTCGGCGCTGCTGCATTCGATCAGGGCGCCGGATTCGACCCTTCCGCTGGCGGTGGACATCCTTTCGCAGGTGCTGGGGGAGGGAATCCCTTTTCCGGGTTCGGCGGAGGTTTCGGTGCCGAGTTCAATTTTGAAGATTTGTTTGGCGCATTTACTGGCGGCGGTCGCCGTGGCCGGAGAGGAGGCGGGCCTTTTCAAGAAGAGATCTTGGTCGGCGAAAATATTGAAGTCCAGACAAATATTTCTTTCATGGATGCGGCCAAAGGAGTGAGTAAGAATATCACCATTACGCCGCTGGTACAGTGCGGGACTTGCAAAGGCGATGGGATGAAGCAGGGATCTTCAAGGCAGACATGCAAGCGATGCAACGGTACGGGCACGCGAGTTCATGTGATGCAGGCCGGCTTCCAGATGGCCTCTACGTGTGATACATGTAATGGGACTGGGACAGTGGTGCCCAGGGGATCTGAGTGCAACACATGCTCCGGTAATGGTGTGGTTCGGAAGAGGGAGACTGTCGAAGTCGACATCCCCGGCGGAGTCGAGGATGGAATGCGCCTGCGGGTCGCAGGCTCGGGTGATTATCCTCCCACCGGGCTATCAGCAAACCCCAAAATTCGGACACAGCGTGGGGACCTGTACGTCTTCATTCGCGTGGCACCAGACGCACGGTTCAGCCGGAATGGAGCAGACATTCTCTATACCGCCTCGATACCTCTGACCACGGCGCTGCTTGGTGGTGAAGTGATGGTACCGACGCTGGACGGTGAGGTCCGAGTCAAAGTTGCCACGGGCACGTCGACAAATGATCGGATCACACTTGGTGGTATGGGCATGAAGAGGCTGGGTGGCCGGGGTGCTGGCTCGTCTGGCGATCTGCGGGTGGAGTTCAAGGTACAAATGCCCAAGTATCTGACTGCCAACCAGCGGACAATCATTGAAATGCTGGCGGATGAGATGGGCGACAAGACGGCCAAGAGGATAATGAACGTGGGCCAGTACAAGAACCAGGACAAGCAGTGAGTTTGTAGAGTGAGACGACAGGCAATTTGCTAATCTTCGTCTCAGAGCACCTACAACAGACAGCCCGGCCTCCAAGCCGTCCGATAAGAAAGCAGACCACAGGAATGAGGGATTCTTGAAATCTGCGTGGCACAAGCTCACTCACCAGCATGATCATCTGGAGACCGACAAGCCTGGAAAGGAGAGCAAAGCGGAGCAGCACGAGGATGACGAACCCAAGAAGGCATCCGGTTCTGGCTGAGTGACTGAGCGTCGATAATTGCACAATACCCTGCTCCTGTTTATATACCTCACAGCGACGGCGATGAGATTGGATCATGTGCATTTCAGAAAGGGAATCCACTGGGTGATGGCTGTGACGACGAGTGTACAGTATCTGCGTACAACTGGATGGTTGAAGCCAGTAGAACTCCCATCATCTGTAGAACACCAGACCTGTCAAAAGTGTTTACTTCTCAGTTGTGGATGACGGCTACCTCAGTGAAACCGGAGAGAAACCTGAGATGAGCCTGATTGAACCTGAGAGGACCCTAAGATGAACCTGAACAAACCTGAGACCAACCTGAGTGAGCCTGAGAGGACCCTGAGATGAACCTCAGGTATGCGTGAGTCTCAATTCCGCATCCTAAATCGGTCGTGCCGCCTGGGATTCAGTCACTGCCGTCTGATTGGCGGAGCTTCTCCTCGTCACTGTGCAGTGGCACGGGCACAGCGGGACTTTACAGATCTGGGCTCCCGAACTGGCTTGCATGCCACGATGCTGTCTGCCTCAGACCTGGTTCGCAGAACGATCGGATCTCGTATGTCCAAGGCTGCCACTCTTTCAAGTTTTCGCTCTTCAATGCATTGATCCGTCGCTTCGTCGCCGCCTATCCCCCGAGTCGTTCTACGACCGGTTCCCCTCACCGGCAGTCAAGATGGTGCAAGCGCCCATGATATCTTGTCCGTTGAAGACGACATCCGAGGTCAGCTGGGTCGAACCGTTGTCGCAGTACATCCGCACCAGCTACGGTGATGATGCCGGCAAATATGCAGAAGAGATTGGCACACTCAACAGGCTGCGGCAGGACATGAGAGGGGCTGGCGCCGACTCGGCTTCAGGAAGGGACTTGCTGTACAGATACTATGGGCAACTGGAACTGCTAGACCTGAGATTCCCTATCGACGAGGCGCATATCAAGATCTCGTTTCAGTGGTTTGACGCCTTCACTCGGGCGGCGACGTCTCAGTACTCGCTAGCCTTCGAAAAGGCATCGGTGATCTTCAACATCGCCGCCGTGCTCTCATGTCATGCCGCTGCTCAGAATCGTTCCGAGGACAAGGACTTGAAGACTGCCTATCATTCTTTCCAGGCTTCCGCGGGAATGTTTACCTATATCAACGAGAACTTCCTCCATGCGCCGTCGATCGATCTGAACCGAGACACCGTCAAAACCCTGATTCATATCGTGCTTGGCCAGGCGCAGGAGGTTTTTCTAGAGAAGCAGGTCAGGGATGGCAAGAAGCCAGCACTTCTGGCCAAACTCGCCGCTCAAGCAGCATTCCTGTACGGTCAGGCCAAGGAAGGACTCGAGTCGGACCATGCACGGGGAGTCTTTGAGAGTGTATGGTTGAAGCTGATCCAGATCAAGGCTTTGCACTTCTCTTCACTAGCAGAATACTACCAGGCGTTGACTGAAGACGAGACCAGCCAGCAAGGTTCCGCGATCGCGCGGTTGCAGCTCGCCGAGAAATCGAGCAAGCAGGCATACACCTTTGCAAAATCTTTCCCTGCGACTCCGTCCTCGGCGTCACAACTAGGCTCAGAGACTGCTTCGGCAATGCAATCTATCACTCGAAGACAGATGGAGACGGTGCAGGAGAAGTTGGTGTCCTTGGTTAAGGATAATGATTACATCTACCACCAGACAGTACCGGCGGAAGCCTCATTATCTCCAGTCACCAAAGTACCGGCAGCTAAAGCGATCCCTCTTTCTGAACTTTATCAGGGCCAAGATATCCAACGAATCATTGGCCCCGACATATTTCAGAAGATCGTCCCCATTTCTGTCACCGAATCGGCCAGTATGTATGACGAGGAGAAAGCGAAGTTGATCAGATCCGAGGCGGAAAAGGTCGAGCAAGCAAATGGCGAAATGGCTGCGAGCCTAGACTACCTCAAATTGCCCAACAGCCTTAACGTTTTGAAAGGTGGTCTGGAACAGGAAATGGGTGTTGACCGAGATTTCGAGCAGTGGTGTCAGGAGATTGCGAACCACCAATCATTCAACACCGCCTTCGAGCAACTCCAGAAAGATAAGCAGACCGTTCTGGACAGCTTGGCCAAAAGCTCCAAGCAACTTGACATGGAGGAGAGCGTGTGCGAGAAAATGAGGTCCAAGTACGGTGCCGACTGGACTCAGCAACCCAGTTCGAGGTTGACGTCTACATTAAGAGCTGACATCAAGAGCTACCGCGACACTGTGGATGAGGCTGGAGCCAGTGATGCGCAGCTCTTTTCCACGGCCCGCCAATACGAAAGTGATTTTGAGGAAATGCGAGCTGCCGGCGAACAAGGTGACGCGGATGTCCTCTATCAGCAAGCACTGATCAAGGCCGGGTCGGGATCGAAAAGCAGAAGTAAGTCGGGAGATGAAACGACGCTACTGGATGAGGACTACGGCGAAGGCGGTCTGTCAGTGATGGATCAGATTGCAAAGGTCGAAGACTTATTGCGGAAACTCAACCTCGTCAAGCGCGAGAGAATGCAGGTGTTGAAGGACCTGAAAGAGAAAGTCCACACCGACGACATCTCGAATGTGCTCATACTGAACAAGAAAGCAATTGCCAATCAGGAGAACCAGCTGTTTCAAGCCGAGCTGGAAAAGTTTCGATCGCACCAAAACCGATTGATATCAACCGTGCATAAACAGTCGTCTCTGTTAAAAGAATTGACAAAAACCTACGGTGACTTGCTACAAGACAAACGGGTGCGGTCAGATCAGCAAAGGTATGACGCTATGCAGAAGAGCAAAAACAGCGTCATGAACAAGTATCGGAAAGTGTTCAATGCACACGAAGATCTCCTCCAAGGTCTTATGCGGGCGCAGGGGTTTTACAGTGAGATGAAGGAGAGTGTTGATAGCCTGGAGAAGAATGTCGAATCTTTTGTCAGCAACCGCAGAGCAGAAGGTGCACAACTACTGCATTCGATCGAGCAGACTAAGAACAGTTCGGCGGATGGTCAAGCGGCGGCCGAACAGAAGCGAATGCAGGAATTGATGAATCGATTGTCCATGGAACCCAAGCCGATCTCACCTCTGCAAGCGGAACCTCCTGCTCTTCCTCCTTTACCGCCGATCAACGCATCAAGGTCTCCCGGTCCCGTGTCGCCATCATATCCTACCACCAATGCCGATCCGAGATTCACAATTCCTCCTCGCCATTCGCCTGCGCCGGTTGTGCCAAATGGGTATTCAGCTCAACTCCAGCCACCCTCACAGCCGACGAATCCCTCACCGGTCGAGGCGCAACACGCTTTCGCTCAAGGCGCCGCAACCCCGCTGTCATCCGCCTACAATCCTATGGCATATCCGGAAAGAGTCGCTGTCACTTCACCCAGTCAGCAACCTGGCGCATATACTTTCTCGCCGGTGACCTCTCCCCTTGGTCCCATGAACACCTACCTCCCCCAAGGATCCCAGACGCACCAACCACTCGCGTTTGCCTCCCCCAGTCACCAATACTCCCAGTATAATTTCCCTCCTCAACCTCCGAGTGGCCCTGGAGCGTACCAGTCCCCCTCTCCTCATCCACAAATGCCTCAGTCGCAACCGCCTTATCATCAGCACCAGCATCAGCCGTATCAGCCTTCTCCGTCGCCCTACAATATGCCGCAGAATTACGTGCCTCCGCCACCACCTCCCGGACCACCTGGAGGTGGTTCGACCACGCAGTACCCCCCTAATCCAGCTGGCGCATGGGCGAGCGGGCCCGGTGGGTACGCGAATTATACGCAAAGATACCCGCAACAACAGCAGCAGGCGCAAAGCTTTCCCCTGCCTCAGCCAGGGCAGCCTCAAAGTGGTGGCGCACAAGACAGTGACCCTTGGGCGGGTCTGAGCGCGTGGAAATGAGAGAACGCGGCTCCAGCGATTTTGTGCGACTAAGGGGGAGGTCGAGATGGACGTAGCGCAGTACCCGAGGTCATACTTGACGCAGTCACTACCTTGCAATGAATGGGATGCTCGGTCCGAAAAGTGCTAGGGTGGCACCTAGAAGTACAAGTGCCGAAATGCACGATACTGCGCTCCTGGTATAGTTGTGCATTTGCTCGGACAGTGATCTTTGTCAGTTGCTTAAATTACTCGTTGCCCAGGGTACAGCGTCGGGCTCGAGCACCTGTGATTCATGCCACAATCCATACAGAGCTCAGGATGGACTTCGGTGTACTCGCATCCGCAAGGACTCCGGCGACCAGAGGTACAGCATCTTCTCATTTAGCGGTGCGGCTCCCGTGAGTGACCCTAGAAATACCGCCCCCGGGCGCAGGAGAGTATGATCGGCCCATTGCTTATCACGGTCAAGCATAGCTAAGAAGTCTTGTGAAAGATCCAAGCTGACCAAATCCCCTCTTTTGCCATTTAAGCTTCACCAAGTCGAATTACAGCTCTGTATGAGTAAGCCCACGGATTGCGACTACGAGCTACATGCAGGCAATCTGCACTAGGTACTATTAAGTAAATAGGAACGTGGCGGCCGGATAACTTGAATGAAGTGATAATGGGCTTATCGCTTTAGTTACTACCTAGGTAGGTTACTTATTAGCCTACTGCTGGTTATAGGTAATTAACTAGACAGAGTGCTGAAGGCTGAAGCGAGATATCGCGGTTTATGCATGACCTCGCCTAGTGAGCTTAATTAAATCAAGCTTCTGCCAAGTTCTCGGAGTCCACAGGCACATACTCCGTACTTGGGTTGGTCTATTCCTGTCATCTCAGTGGTATACTACGCCTGCTTTGGAAAATGTATTCCCTTGGCGAGATGCGCTGTCCGAACAATGCCACGATGGTTCCGTCGGACCCGAGAAGCATAGACAAGACACAATCACCGTGGCCGAAGAACATGATTAGATATATCCAAGGGTACCAGATGAAATGCTTCTCTTCTGCAGCGTCTCACAACAGCACAATCAAACTCAAAACTGCAACCTGTTGATCAGTTCTCGTGCTTTCTTGCATTTCCTTGTGGCCCTTGTTTCACAGCACATCTAATTACTCATTCCATCGACATTCAACATGAAGTCCTCGGTTGCAGCCACGACTCTGTTTGCTCTCATCAGCGGCTCTGTGGCGGCCCCGTCCAATCTCCGATTTGCGAAGCGCGACCTTCCCAGCGGTGACTGTGTTGCCCCGGGTCCAGACGCCACCGCCAATGCGATCAACGCCTGGGACAGCGATGTCCGGACGGTCAATGCCTTTCTTGAAGCAGCACCCACTCTCGGCTCGGTCGACATCCTCCTGTCCATCCAAACTCCCCTGACAGCCGCGGAAGACGAACCCAACCAGCTCCAGGTCTTGGCCTGCGAGCCGGCCGTTTTTGAGGGCACGCAGGCCCAGGCCGCCGCAGACGCTTTGTTCGACGGCTTTGACGACAACGTCATCGTGCCTCTAGGAAACATCGTTGCCAGTCCAGCCGATGCCACCAATGTCGCGCACCAGCTGGCCACCATCAACCAGTTCCGGTGCTGCACAGTCCTACCTAGTCTTGACATTTTGTGGCAGACAACTGCCGCCAATGAAGGATTGGTCGGTAGCGGGCCCATCGTCGCACCGAGGCCTTCAACATGTGCTGCAATCACATGTTAGAACCGAGACATTGCTATCTGCCTGTTTCCTTGGAGTTTGGGACCATGCATGATCAGCTGGAAGGGTAATGGCATAGAGAGGCATTGTCGCAGAAGCAGGAAACTGGCGTCAGCGCTAAGGAGACATTACTATGAGCACACATTCATTTAGCCCCATAGCATTACCATCACTGCAATACTAGTCCTTCCGGCGTTTGGCGCAGCAACATACCTTCCATTCGCGTCCAGATGTGTACGGGTTCGTTTGTTTACCTAGAATGGATAAAAGGAGAGATGTTTCTTCATGTCCGCCGCGATCGATCATGCCGTTTGAAACCGGAGGCATGCCGTTGAGCCCACGTGTAGCGTGACCGAGTCTTTGGCCCTACCATGCTAGAGCGACTCTCGGTTGAACCCATCAGATCCTCGCTGTCTTGTGGCTGATAGCGGTGGGCACAGTTGATGCTCGAAGCCTGGGAAAAGGGTGCTGAATCTGTTTAAATTGACTAAACTCGCGGGGCCCGCTTCTATATGCAACTATACCAGCCACAGGAGGCTGAACGCCCCACTCCGCAGTCGCCAATGGCAGTTTCCGGCTTGGCAGCTTCCGAGGTTGAGCCGTACTCTGCAAATCTTTTGAACGTTACTGTCGAGACTGTAGACTGCCACTTCCACCTCTCATACACGCCCATAGATCGCATTCCGCAACAGCAACGGCCATGCCATCGACGCACAAGAAAGACAAACCGTGGGACACGGACGACATAGACAAGTGGAAGGTCTGCACTGCCGGGTCTCGGTCTGCCATTATCAACTGCTGACTTCTCTTTAGGTCGACGAGTTCAAACCCGAGGACAACGTCGGTGGCACTTTTGCGGAAGAGTCATCGTTCGCATGTTTATTTCCCAAATATCGCGAGCGCTATCTGAAAGAGGCGTGGCCTTTGATCACAAAGGCGTTGGAGAAGAGGGGCATTGCATGCACACTCGACTTGGTCGAAGGCCGCATGGAAGTTCGAACAACCAGGAAAACATTCGATCCTGCCTCGATCCTGGATGCTAGGGATCTCATCAAACTGCTGGCTCGCAGTGTGCCTGCTCCCCAGGCCATCAAAATACTGCAGGATGATGTGGCTTGCGACGTGATCAAGATCAGAAGTCTGGTTCGCAACAAGGAGCGATTCGTCAAGCGTCGTCAACGACTTCTCGGCCCCAATGGGTCGACCCTCAAAGCCCTCGAACTCCTCACGAATACCTATATCCTGGTGCAGGGAAACACCGTCAGCGCCATGGGTGGCTATAAGGGTTTAAAAGAGGTCAGAAGAGTGGTTGAAGACTGTATGGCCAATATCCACCCTATCTACCACGTGAAAGAACTTATGATCAAGCGTGAACTGGCAAAGGATCCTGCCTTGAAAAACGAAAACTGGGACCGATTTCTGCCCAACTTTAAGAAGAAGACGCTCAGCAAGAGACATGAGCCGCGCAAGGTCACCGACAAGTCTAAAAAGGTCTATACGCCCTTTCCGCCGCCACAAGAGAAGAGCAAAATCGACCTGCAAATTGAGAGTGGCGAGTTCTTCCTCGCCAAACACGCCAAAGAGAGAGCCCGCGAGGAGGAACGTCGGGAAAAGCAGAAACAGAAGAAAGAAGAGAAGCAGCGACAGCGAGAACAAGCATTTGTCGCGCCGAAAGAGAACACAGTCGAGCGGTCGAAGAAGAAGAGGAAGCATACGGACGAAGACGGAGTGGAGAGGTCAAAAGCAAAGAAAACCAAGAAGACGGCAGAATGAGCGGTCATCTCGTGCAATGCTTCGCGCAAGTAGTCGGGGCACGTTGAATGCTCGTTGGTGAAGCCAGCCGGACCCGAGGAATGGTCTCGTATCCTCCTGACCAAGCGACAAACAAATTCAAGAGCATGGAGCACACCCGGATGTCACTGCTGATTGCTGCATGCTGCAGATCTGTCAGCACCTGTACGACGAAAGATGTGGAGTGAAACATCAGTACCGGAGCCCGGCGGCGTTTCCAACCTTGAAAGAATGCACTGCGAGATTCTCCTTTCGCAATGGCCGTCTTCATGCTGTTCCACAATCATGGTCTCGGCCCAGAACGATGTGACTGCATGGTCTTGCATCGCAGAAGGCATCGCATCCAGCTCCCTCTGCAAATGCTAGCGCATTGCTGCAGGAATTCTCCACGCTCATTTCTGAGGTGCAGCCTCGCACAAATCCAAACGCCGACCGGCTATCAACAACGAATCAGAGAGCAGTCGGCGAATCCCTCGCATATCTTGTCCACTTTCCGCCTTACCAGAGCCGATGCCTCCATCAAGGGCGTCGAGACTCCTTCCAGACGCCTTCTAGGGCATCTTCTGCGATCTTCCTCATTCCGGTCCACCGGTCTTATCTTTAGCAGCTTGGAAGGTTCAGTGTCAGTTGCCGTATGCTTGACATGATTCGATGATACCACATGGCCGCGCAGAGTCTTATCCCCATGAGATTCGAGGCTACCGTGTTCACCTTGGCGGTTTCCGCGTTTGCAGCCGTTCAGATCATATTCTTCTCATGATTAACCCGTGGGAACGACGGGGCGCAGTAAGCCTACGGTCAAGAGTCGCCCTGGAGTGGCAGCACTCTGATCAAGCCACACCAATCTTCTTGACCCTCAGTCGCCCATCATGGCGTCGGAGCGAATGCAGCTGCTTGAAATGCGCGCATACCTGGATGCGACGCAACAAATCCGATCTATGAGGCTCCACTGGTAGACGGTGTCGTCGGTAGGATACCCGGTAGACCCTCTTCATATGTTCATCAGCCCACTGCGGTAAATCGGCAGCAAGCACCGGGCTCGCCTTCCCAGCATTCCACCAGTCACGACCAGGACAGCTCCAGCTCAGCTTTCACCCTTCGGCGAACTCTCATTGGAGACACACCAGGTGACAATGTGCCAGGCATGCAGTTCTTGTGCTCGGCGAAACTCGAGTCACGCCGAAGCTAATGCAAGCTGGTGAATAGTTTCGCCGTCCCGAAAGGGCCGAGCAACCCCTGTCTGCGCTGTCACGCTCCCAGACACGTAACAGCTCGCTCGAATTGACGTCGTCCTTGACAGACGGAGAATCTGGGCGAGCGTGCGCGCCTCGATGTTGGGCAGTTCTCTCCACTTCCCCAGCTTCGAACACGACAAAGACCCCTGCCAAATGGACCGATTTACAAACCGCTTTGCTTGAAAGGGTCAAGCTCTGCCCACGATCCTCGTCGGCTGCACTCCCCAGCTATGAGCAATAATCCTTTCTGCATCTTGATCCACTCAGACATGACCCCGGGCATGGGCTGCTTGCGCTTCAGATCCGAAGCCTTGGAAGGCACTGACGAGAGCATAATTCTCTCGACCAACGGCGGACATTCTGATCGCGGGATGTATAAAGATGGCCGGTCGTCCGCTTCAGATGACGCTCTCTCCATCACGATCAACAGCATTTCTTCCGCAATCGATCCTCTTGATCATTCCACATCCAGCAGCGCTCTCGTGTGAACCCATATCGATCGTTGTACCCCCGCCCCTGGTGCGACATATAACAGTTGCTGTGCGCGTCCTGCTTGTAACGTCCCAGCACAACCACTCTCCCTCACTATCCTAGTTGTTACTTGAAGGACCATATCACATCCCATCGGCATGGCGGACACTGTCGAACGCGCGCCCTCCAATGCCGACGCAATGGCCAGCCAGCGACGCAAGAGCGTGGCCAACAAGGGCCTGACAGGCGCTTCGGCCCTCACTGTCAGACAGTCCATCTTCCCCATCACCCTTGTCACGGTCCTCTTCTTCCTCTGGGGCTTCGCCTATGGTCTGCTCGACGTGTTGAATGCAAAGTTTCAGAACTCGCTCAACATCACTGCCGCCAAGGCAGGAGGGCTACAAGGATCCTACTTCGGAGCTTACTTCATTGGACCTCTGACATACTCTGGTTGGATCGTGCGAAGATGGGGTTATCGATGTATGTTTGCGGTATCAAGGCGATCCGAAGCCTGGCGCTAACCTTTGCCCAGGGACATTTATCACCGGGCTCTGCATCTATGGTGTGGGTGCGCTTATGTTCTGGCCATCCGCCGTTTACAAGTCATTCCCCGGCTTCTGTGGTTCACTCTTCATTGTCGGATCCGGCCTCTCCACGCTGGAGACATCGGCCAACCCGTTCATCGCGACGTGCGGGCCTCCACGCCTGTCCGAGTTCCGGCTTGAGCTCTCACAGTCCTTCCAAGCCATCGGCTCTGTCGTGGCTCCTCTGCTGGCTTCTCGGGTCTTCTTCAAGGACACGAACTCGACGGACCTGTCCCACGTACAATGGACGTACGTCGGCATTGCTGCCTTCGTCTTCCTGCTTGCCGTCGTGTTCTTCTTCAGCCCTTTGCCGGAAGTCACAGATGCCGACATGGCTCTTCAAGCCGAGCAGTGCTCCGACTTGACTGGCTACCAGGAGAAGCCACTTTCCAAGCAGTACAAGCTCTTCTTCGGTGTTGCGGCACAGTTCACCTACGTCGGTGCTCAGGTGGCGGTTGCTTCCCAATTCATCAAGTACACCGAGGAGTCGGCAAAGGTCTCCTCAGCTGTCGCCTCTGACCGATACGCCATTGGCCAGGCTCTCTTCGCCATCGGCCGGTTCGCTGCCGCCGGCATGTTCATGTTTATCAAGCCTCGACTGGTGCTGTTGGCCTTTATGACGATGATCATGGTCTTCATCGCACTGTCGATGGGAGTCTGGGGCGAAGGTGGCGTGGCCTGCCTGTCGTTGGTGTTGTTCTTTGAGAGCTGCATCTTCCCCACCATCTTCACGCTCTCCATCCGTGGGTTGGGTCGCCATACCAAGAGAGGGTCATCCTGGATCGTGGCGTCTGTCTGCGGCGGTGCTCTGTTCCCTGCGCTGACGGGACTTGCCGCCGACAAGATGACTTACCACAAGGCCATGTGCGTGCCTCTGGTTGGCTTCTTCGTCAGCTTTGTGTTCCCGATCTACTTGAATACTGTGTGCAAGAAGGAACTGGACGGCTTCCGCGAGACCAAGATTGGATACGTCGATGAGAGGCGCGGGACCATCATCGGGGATATCAAGGACATTCAGACTTTCGAGGCAATGCAGAAGAAGCACTCGGTCAATATTGAAAAGGTGTGAGCAGCACGCAGGGATAGGTTGGTTGCACTATGCCCACGTGCTTGGAGGCAGGAATGATCATCACATCACGTTGATTGAAGAATACCAACTCAGGTAGACAGGAGATCAATTTGATTGCCAAAGTCCAACCCACCCTCTCCCGGGTTGTATTCTGACACCCGTCTACCTCTGAATACTTGCCTGCTTGCCTGACTGTCTGGCTGTCATTCATATTCCTATCTGTGACATACCTGTCCTCAACTAATTTGACGATTCAAAGGGCTCTCAGCAAACGGTGAAGAACGATCCCGTATACTACGAGTATTACCCATCCAAGCCGCGTGCCATTGAATGATATGTCAATTAGAGCTTGTGACGGAGACGGAGAAAGAGAGAATTTGTACGAGGGGTGGATATGCTTGGAGTTTCGTGTATAGGATGCGGTAATTACAAGTAGCTCGGATCGACACGGGCGACGATAGTCGGTACAGATCTTGGGACCTTCGTGTCGCGGGTAGGTCAGGATAGTAGGATAAGTAGCTCGGTTCGACGAGGCGGTGATACAGGTCGTGTTTACTCCGTACATACACGGTCCACTTAGTAGTACTCTATAGTGTGTAGTGTGTAGTGTAGCTAGAACTAAGTAGGCGGGAGGACGCATCAGCGAGCCAGCCTCCTTTAGTCTATACTCTCTCTCTCTCTCTCTCTCTCTCCCTCTCTCTCCCTCTCTCTCCCTCTCTCCCTCTTTCTAAGCCAGGTTATCAGCTGGATCTGATGTATAGAGTACGAAGTACCATCCAGAGTACGGAGTACAGCAGCCCCTCGTGCCTCTCCGTGTGATGGCAAGGCTGTCTGATCGCCCACACATGCCTTACATATCTAGGTACATAAGCCTAGAGGCTCGGGACTTGCTGGCATCGATCAGTAGTGCAGATTCGAGGTGCTGGCTGGGCTGGGTTGGCTGGATTGGCTTGAGCTGGCTGATCCATGACAGAGTGAAGGCGTTGAAGCACCCATTTATTCTCAGTCGTCAGCCCGCCCCTCTTTTCAGCCACCAATCACCAAACGGTCACTTATGTATACATCTGTACCGGAAATAGTAGATGGTAGTGCGATGCGACGGATTCCAGCTGAAATATCCCGGGCTGTATGTCTATATGTCTATATGTCTGTATGTCGGTACACCGTATGCGCGCTTCTGGTCTGCTTCTAGTTCTAGTTCAGCATCTGGTACTAAGCATCCCCCGTCCCCTCCACCTGCCGCGACGAGGAGTATATACAGAGTACGAGGATGGGGTACATTCGGTGCTGTAGGTACTCTCTATCCGTCATGGCGTGGTCCACTCATCTTCATCCTCGTCCCATCCTAGTCCCACGTTACCAAGTACACTGTATATAGTACTCACTCCGTACGGAAGCACCCGTCCTGGAATTTCCGTTGGTCTCTGATTCTGATTCTGATTCTGATTCAGCTGATGTGTGTGATGTGACGTGACGCGACCACAACTCGGGCAATCGACGCAATTACTCGATCGGCCAAGTCGGTCAATTTGGCTTATTCCTTCACGAGGCATATTGTACTGTATCCCACATGCACTGTAGCTCGAATATCCCTGTCCAGTACTCGTACGAGCTAAAAGGCAAGAGTAAGGAGAGTCCCCCGTCCTTACTTCTTATTAGAACAAACATCTCGACTCCTTTAAGCATGATTAACTCGTGTGGAATACTCCGTACAGAATACAAGCACGGCCACCAATTATTCCACTTCTGCTTCTGCTTCTGCTTCTGCTTGGTTCTGCTGTCTTCAACTATACGAGCACGGGCAATCCTCCGCTTCGACCTCTTCCCTACCTAGGTACCCGTATTCTGCCAACGCCAGGCCACATACACTGCTCAGAACATGTTCAGCCCCCCTTCACTTCCACCTCGTATGCTAGCTCGCTTCGATCAGCTGGCCGCCTGGCCGCCTGGCCGCCAACGTCCGATGCGGCGTACAGCCCTGTACAACGCACCGACGTAGTGTACGTGAAATGACTGGGCAAGCAAGGTCACACGAGAAAGGATTGGGATCAATCATGCTCGTGTCTGACATTGGCTCGCCTAAGGTTTGTGAGATGTATGTACAGTACCCCGCTTGTGCGTCCACGCGTGCACGAGCTCACTCACTGGTCAGTGTTTATCTGTGATGCATGGGCAGACGGTATGGTCGAGCTCACCTGCTCGGTCAGAGGACTGCTTTTAAACGCAACGACACGTCCACACTTCTGGCTTGACTCACCTCAACTTGACTCGACCTGACTCGCCTCTACAGTACATCACTCAGTCACCAACTTAGTCACTTTACCTTTAAGTCGACTCGCGGGCAGGCAGGTCACTTCACAACATATTCCTCCCCCCGGACCCCTATTAAGATGACCTTACCAGCGGCTCGCCCGACTCTATACAACCGCGATCCTTATACTTTCTTCAACGCCTCTTCCGTGTCTCCTCAAATCCTCAATGTCATCCTTTCCATCTTAACGTCCTGGGACCAGGCGTCCACCGACTACGCCTACGCCGAGCAGTTCCACCCCAATGGCGTCCTCCATGTCACACCGGAGCCTTCGGTTGGCAAGGAAGCAATGCGGCGACTTCACGACTCGATGATCAATCCCTCTGATGGACCGGTTGTCGATCTGCAACATTATCTCGATAGGATCTTTCTCATGCCTAGTCCGCCAGAGGGCAAGACCGAGGTAGTCTTCACAGGAAAGTTGACAAGTGTGCTCAAGACGGGTGACGAGGTGACGACCGATTTCGCCACGTGGCTTGTGCTGAGTACTAGTCACGACGCCGCTGGGGAGCTGAAGGTCGAGTTGCTGAGAGTTCTGTCCGATACTGGAGAGCTGATGGCGAAGATTGGCGCCATGATGGTGCAAGATGGGCAAAAGAATTGAGGGCGACTGGAACCGGTGTATGTATACTTGAAGATGGCAAGAAGGGAAGGGAAAGATAGTGCCTGGTGTCTTCCGTCCCAGACTGACCGGCTCGTCGTTGATTGACAATTGTGTGCAAATATGAGAATCTGATGGCAAAGCTATTGGCGAGCACAAGTGGCTTTGGACCAAGGGCTGGGCTCGTGTTGTCCATTCAACATCTCCGACTTACAATGACCAGTCCAATCATACCTGCACCTGGACCATAGGCAGAATAAGAGTGCTCTGGCTGTCCTTCTTCGCCTGTATTTCCCTCCCTCTACGTCGAGGGTTCTTGCTGCTCCCTCGCTTTGCTCCTTGCTAGGCCCTGGCTGGTCCAATCATACCTCACCGTGTCTTTCTGCTGAGCGGAGCAGATGCAATTCTTCTGTGCGAGTCGAGGTCTTGCTCTGCCATGAATGACTGCGACCAGTATCAAACAGGGAGGTTCCCGCATGCGGCTGCAAGGGTATGAACTCCGATCCACCATGAGAACCACGCCGTGCTTGACTTAGCACTTGTCTCAGCCCACTCAATTCATACATGACGATCGCCCGGCACACCAGCGTGGAAGCAAGATACCTCGCCACCACTGTGACGGCGTCGCTCGTCGAGATGAACAAGATGCTTGAGAAGACCAGCGTTCCGTACACAATGTGCAGCACGGTGCCCATGGAAGTGAACCAGCTCAGAAAGATATAGAGGTATGTTTCGTCCTTGATTTCCAGTCTGGCCACTTCTCTTGCCGCTGATGGTGTGAATTCGGCGCATATCCTTCTCCAGATGTGTTGTGTCCATGATCTGGTCACGTTCGGCTCTAGTAGGACGATCCTCGTGCGCAAATAGACCGACCACGTGCCAAAGAAGTGGACGGCAATGGCCAGAAACGCCCAGAGCGCAGGCAAGAAGGCGTCCTCGGGAGCAAAAGAGCATACGGTCTGGATGCAGAGTTCGTAGCTCACAAAAGCCAGGTTCACGACCGCACCAGCAGCCATGATGTACTCAAAGGAAGAGATGAGCGTATTCGCAGTTGGTCCCATGGGCAAGATCTTCGCCGTGCCGGGCTTCTTGGCCAGCAGGTCCTTCGTGTCGACATAGTCGAACGTTCGCATCGGGGACACAGCCGGGGCGCCAGCTGCCAGCAGAAAGGCGAGAAACGGTCGTCGAAGGGCAACCAGCCCCACCTCAACGGTCGTCGAGCCCACGCCGCCCAATGTGGTGGGAAGGAGACCTAGTAGGACCGCGGCGGCGGCAATGTTGGACTTGCGGGTTTCGTTCAGATGCCCAAGGATACAATCGATGACGGGTGTAATGGTCATGCTCAGGTAGTCCTTCGGCGCCTCTTGGGTGAGGTATACCTGATACTCTTGCCGGCAATCGCGCTGCACGATCTCCTGCAAGACCTCTCTGAACTGCCCATACCAGCTTTTGAAGTGGACGGCAGCTTTGGATTTCGAGATGAGCGAAAGGAGGACGAGCAGGGAGATTCCCCTGCGAGACGCCATGTCGAGCCCCGAAAGGCCGCACGTCTGTCAGGGAATGGATCATTTCACCCAGGGCAGATGAGGCTCGAGGCCGCATATATGTATTCGTTGCCAAACATCATACCACGCCCCCACTCTTGGGGCATAGATTTATTTTTATCGCCTGCTTGCAATAGTGACGAAAGAGGTGTGTCCGCGCCAGTGTACCAGTCCGTCTCAAGCGTTTGGTGGGGGCGCTGCAACGTCTTGAGGCTCTCTGGAAAGAGTAAAAAGTCACACAGGCGAATGGCCGTCACAGCTGTCCAATGTGCGACGAGCAGTACGAGCGGCGAACTTCTCTCTGATGGGTACTCCATTGCACATTGGAAGGCCAGTTGATAGGGCTGGGAATGAATGCGCCCCCATGAGCCAGGGCGACAATCGAAAAGTGCGTATGAGGACGTTCTGGCTGGGGAGGCCGGACATTCTGCATGCTGTTGGCAAACACTCCCAGATGCGGAAGGCGATAGAGAAAAGACTTACTGGGCGCCGCGGACCTGCGCCGTACACCTTTCCCCAGAAAGAGGTGGCTGCATATTGTGGTGGCTATGACTAAAGGGAGCTGTAGGGATGAGTGTAGGAAAGTGAGGTGGCTGGCAGTTGCTGTACACAGTAATTTCAGACAAAGAGTGAATCATTCACTTTACCACGTCCTTCACTTGCAGATTCAGACTGTGGGCGTCAATGGCAGCATACTGTCGTGGTTACTCTAAGGCCGATCATAAACTCACCATCAACTCACCATCAACTCACCATCCACTCACTATCAACTCACCTTCAAGTCACCAGTGGCTGACCGGAACTCAGCAATGGTTTAGTCATCGTTACTGCCCAACTAGTGCTAGGGGCTGCAGCCAATTTGGTTCGGCAAGGAAAGCACGAAGCTCTCCACGAAGATGGGGTACAGTTAAGTACAAGAAGGCACCTCGAGAGCCAAAGTCCTCGCACAATCCACTCGCCCTCATCATCGCCGTAGACGGAAGCAGAAGCAGAAGCAGAAGCAGAAGCAGAAGCAGAAGCAGGAGCAGAAGCAGAAGCAGAAGCAGAAGCAGAAGCAGAAGAAGGAAGAAGAAGAAGAAGAAGAAGAAGCGCAATGAGCTGATCGGTAGTATGGACCTTTAACCGCACGGCTTGATTGTGTCCTTTTGCTCTGGCCTGGATTGTCAGCCAATATGTCGTCTCCATCGACCTGACGAGGCTGACGTGCCTTTCCGGGGCATGGCCATGTGAGCTTACGGGGTTACGCCTGAGCTGACCTTCTTGAGCCGTCAAGGCCTACTGCTCGTGGTACGGCCATCTCCATCTGTATTCGGATCTTCACCGGCATCGTGCCGTTGGAAGTCTGCATCATGATCTGGGCCGTCCACATCCACGGATCTGCTTGGCGTATTTTTTTCCGTGGGCAAGGGCATTTGATGACAGACCTGCCGGTACGAGGTAGGAAGGAGAAAGATTGACATCCCGACCTGGAAAGGAGGAGCGTAACAAGACCTCCTTACAGTGGCTGATATGCAACCACTGGATGCAAAGGGCGTCGAGAAGGGACCCGCAGGAACAATTTGAAGGGAATTCATTCAGACTCAGATTCGTGGCAAATACGAGCCATTCAAGTGAGCTCAATCGTTCTATCCGTCACATTAGTATGCTGTCCAATCAACAGTTGCCTGAGTCTCGCTGGACACAGATTATGGCTCCCAGTCTCGGCCCAGGCAGCAAGACGATCGTAGTCGTACTGTACAGTCCTCCGTGACGCCATAATGCCCTTTCTGACCGAGCTCTGCTGTGATGGCCGCCATCTGAGAAGAAATAACATATCATCCATGGCTTAGTATCGAATCCGGCATCATTTGCCCGAGTATTTGGCCTTCCCGAAGGAGAAAGGTACGTAACGGTATTTGATCATGTGCTGTATTTGTCGTCTCACTGATAAATTGTCAGTGGGTAGGTCGTAGCAATATGCCGTACAACTTACTTGTCAGAGAAAACAAGATCAGCCAGTACATGACGAGAACCGGCCAGAAGACTGGCAGGTTGAACACCTCGAACCAACTGCAAATAAAGCTGATTGTGATTGCCCGGGTTGCAGCGTGCCAGAACTTGAACTCCGGCAGCCTTCTGATGAAAGGCCTGAACTCATCATCTTGCTTCGTGGGTAGCCCGGAGCCTTCACCATCCTCAATGCCTTCGTCCTGCGACAGGCTGGGATCGAACTTTGGCTGAAGGAATGCGAGGAAGAGGTTGAGCAGGTAGATGCCGAGACAGTAGGCGACAATGTACCAGCCTTGTGCAATGACGATCCGAAGGAAGAATAGGACGAGTATGGCGCCTGTCGAACACCATCGGTAGGCGACATAGGGAGTGGATTTATCGAGGTACGTTTGGTATTGCTAGCAAAGAGCAGGTTAGCTGGGTCGGTCGCTCAAGAGTTCCTTTGTGTCCATACTCTCAGTAGCCTGTTGCCTTGTGTACTGATAGCGTCGAACGGTGTCGTCTCAGGCTCAGGCCCGTCCATATTGGCAGCAGCGACAGGTGGCGCGGAAGCAGACGCAAACTGTGCTGGGCAGGGTTTGGCGCACACGCTTCGAGCCTCAACAAAACGCAGCTGCGCGGAGAAGTCGACGATTGAAAGACACGAAGGGAACGAGGGTCGTGCCGCAAAGGTGGTTTCGGCGCGCGACAAACAGCAAGCTGAAAGGATAGTGAAGGGTCAAGATCAGGGAGGCAACTCCACTGAAGCCACGTCTTTTTTTTGTCGCTCGCAGCCTTTTCGCAACTCGGGCGGAGGGTTTCGAAACAAGAGCCAACTGCGCCACACGCCCAACGCCTGACGCCTCGTCCGCCTCAACTCGTATGCGGATCGAAAGGGGGTTTGGGGCAAACCCCGGATTAATGTTAATCCTTATGCGGGATCGCGGCGAGACTTCGGCCTAATCACAGCCGAGGACCACGAAACTGCGGCTCCTGCGGTTGTCATCGGCCACTTCCAATGCTTCATATTCAGTGCTTGAGAAGCCCACCTGCAATTCCTATGTCTCGCCAGTTTCTTCCTCAGCTCTCACAATGACTCCCTTGAGACTCCTGTCACGCCCAGTGACCGCCCTCTCAGCCGCTCCACGATCTCTTCCGCGTCTGGTCCGATTCCAATCCACATCGGGCAGCTATGAGAACATCATCGTATCGAACCCCCGGCCGGGCGTCGGTCTAAGTACGGTTGGCTTGAGGATTGTCACGGGATGTCCCCCTCGCTAACAGGAGTAGTCACACTGAACCGACCAAGAGCTCTAAATGCCCTCTCAAGTGCCCTGTTCGGCGAGCTCAATAAAGCACTGAAGAAGTATGAAGAGGACAATGATATTGGTGCCATTGTCCTCACTGGGAATGACAAGGCTTTCGCAGGTAGGACCAGCCACATTCGGAGCGACATACTAGCTGACACCTCATGAACAGCCGGCGCGGACATCAAGGAAATGGCACCCTTGACCTTTTCTGAGGCCTATGTTAACAACTTCATTGCGCCCTGGTCCTACTTGACGACCCTCCGAAAGCCCATCATCTCAGCTGTGTCGGGCCACGCTCTTGGTGGAGGCTGCGAGTTGGCCATGATGTGCGACATACTATACTGTACGAAGACGGCCAACTTCGGTCAACCTGAGATCAAACTGGGCACCATCCCTGGTGCAGGCGGCTCCCAACGCCTGACGGCTGCGTTTGGCAAGAGTAAGGCCATGGAGATTATTCTCACTGGCAACAATTTCAGTGGGGAAGATGCAGAGAAGTACGGTCTTGCAGCCAAAGCCTTCGACGGCGGTAACAAGGAAGTCCTGGAGGGCGCTCTGGATACGGCCGAGAAGATCGCAAGCTACAGCCGAGTAGCTGTCCTCGCGGGAAAGGAAGTTGTCAACAAGAGTCAAGATCTGGGTATTAGAGAGGGCGTCGAGTACGAAAGACGCATCTTCCACAGCCTGTTCGGTAGTCAGGACCAGAAAATCGGCATGAAAGCGTTTGCCGATAAGAAGAAGCCCGAATGGAGCAATTCTTGATTCCGAGGGAGTTAAACGAATGGAGCAATTCTTGATTCCGAGGGAGTTAACGGAACTCTCCGACGGGCAATAAAGTCGGAGCAAGGGCTTCGTGCTCACCAGGGTTGTCCCGGCGGTTTGTGTACACTATGATCCAGCAGCCTCCTAAAACTGGCTGCAACCAGTCAGATACGGTATTGAGCGACAAGGCTGAAAAGTCCAAATACAAGCCTCTTCCTCCTGACCTCTTAACCCCGGACTTTTCTGTGGCTGCAGCAGCCCCGTTCAAGCTCTCCATGCCGGCTTCGCACGCTGACATGAGGAGGGTACCACATCCTGGGTTTCCCTGGCGTACGGACAGTAATTCTAGCCAACAATTTGCCTATGCTTGGAGTTTCCCCTGTCATCACGTTCTCATGACATACCAAATCCTCTTGAGGTTCATAACGTACACGTAGTGACAACAATCTCACGAGAGAATGGGCCCGCCCCCGCTTGGCCGGTGTTATATGTCCAGGAGGAGTGTCTGCTAAACAGGCGGAGTTAAGCCAGAAGGTACAGTAGTTACTGTGCGGATGTTCGTTCCTCTGAAGCAAGCTGGGGCAACTGCTCCCCAGGGTTGTTGATCGTTGGCAATACAATGGCTCCCTCTCTTCGCTTCACATGTGTCAGTTCCCGCTATCGCCACTGTGACACTACCAGCCATTTCGACATAGTGCCGAATCGAAAGATTAATGTCAGTGCCTTGGCCCAGACGAGATTTGCCGCGCGCTCTGATTGGGGTAATCAATAAATGCCATGGGAAAGCGGGATCCCAAGTGGATGGATTTGTGGACATAGTGGACAGTATTATTCAAGTGGTTTATGCCATTCTCCACCGGCATGACTGATGGATTACACACGAACCAGATACTGTGCACAAGCACAGGCTGCAGCCCAAGCTTTTGGATACCACACACCGTC